TGATAATGATAATGATAATAATAATGATAATGATAATGATAATGATAATGATAATAATAATGATAATGATAATGATAATGATAATGATAATGATAATGATAATGATAATGATAATGATAATGATAGTAATAATGATAATGATATTGATAGTGATAGTTGTAGTGGTAGTGGTAGTGATAGTGATAGTGATAGTGGCAGTGATAGTTGTAGTGGCAGTGGCAGTGGCAACGGCAACGACAACGGCAACAACACCGACAACGACAACGACAACGGCAACGACACCGATAACGATAACGATAAGGATAACGGTAACGATGACGATAACGATAATGATGACAGTAAGGATAACGATGTTGTAGCTGGTAATGCTTCTGCCGCGAATGGTTATGGTGATGAAGTTGATGATGTTAATACCGAGCTGAAAAAGTAACCGGGTGTGACAAGGTAAAATCGACAAATGATTGAGCATGCACAAGCATTGATCTAGGCAGAGAGTACAAAGATTTGATGGCAATTACAGGGACCGCACATAAAATCAATGTTCCGTGTGCCGCCAAGTACAATTTGTGCAGTGTCCCGATTGCTCAGGTAGCTGTAAATCAGCCAAGGCGGACTTTACAGACTATTTATACTACGATTAAGATTATTACTACTAAGATTATTTACTGATAAGAGTTCACGGAAAGGTCAGTGTTGCATATTATAACTTCTCCTCTACAATAACTGCTAAATCGGCTGCAATCATTATAATATATTGCGTTACTTAATAATGAGCTCATTAGCTTAGCCATTGGTCTTGAAGATAAGGTGTTTGATGGTTCTCGCTAAGAATATACGACCTTACGGTAAAAATAAATCTTCCCATACTATTATTTTAATAACTTCCTTTTCCGATCGTTTAGATTTAATCGCTATCTAATGAATACATCACTAACATTATTTTCGAGCACTGTTTGCAAAAATAAGAAGTCGATCGTAATTGGGCGGCGTTTCTCTTATTAGCAGACGACAGAATTTTATATGCTATTGCACGCGTGGGGAGAGGAAGGGAAACAGCATGAGGCAAAGGTTAGCCGTTTTGACCTTTCAGCTTCGCGGTACAGACGCAGAGCTCGATCCCAGCCACAGCTTGTCTCAACATATCGTCGTGTTTGTCGGTCTAATTGAACACACACAGTTCGATTACTGCTTTTCTTGTCGTTGGGCAAGAGGCCCGGCGCATTGAGCCTCATAGTAATGACGTCACACGTGCTCGACCATGCTTCCGCTGGCTGCCATCATCGTTATACTGCATGGTTCGACACCGACTTAACTTCCTATCTCTCTATCTTCTCTCTCTCTCTTATTCTATTTATCTTTATCTATTTCTTTCTTGCTCTCTCTCTCTCTCTCTCTCTCTCTCTCTCTCTCTCTCTCTACGTCGCTCGACGTCGACGACAACGGCGAGGA